CAGCACGAGCTTTTCCTGTATAAAAGAACACGGGAAGGCCGGGGCTGTGCTCTGATAGAAAGCAGACAGCCCCGGGGTATTGACTGGAATCAGGCTCAGGAACACATTGCCTCTGCTATCCCGATTCCCGGGGTATCCCTGCTCCTGTGAATGAGTCCAAGTGAATAAAAAATGAGCTGTGAGGCCCAAGGCAGCACGTTCTGCCTCCCCTGGCCCACCCAGCCCAGCGAGGCTGTGGGTGGGAGAGCAGTGGGATCGTGTGTGGGCTGAGAGGGGCTGGACTCTGAAGGGGGGATCCACACAATCCCAAAGTCCCTTAGGATGGAGAGCACCTTCAGGATCATCAATCTAACCATTCCCCAGCACTGCCAAGGCCACCACTGAGCCGTGTCCCCAAGAGCCACATCCACATGGCTTTAAATCCCTCCAGGGATGGGGACTCCCCTACTGCCCCAGGCAGCCTGTTTCAATGCTTGACCACCCTTCCCACAAAGGAATTTCCCCTGGTATCCAACCTAAATCTCCCCTGGCACAAATTGAGGCCATTTCCTCTCCTCCTGTCCCCGTTCCCTGGGAGCAGAGCCCGACCCTCCCCAGCTGTCCCCTCCTGTCAGGGAGTTGTGCAGAGCCAGAAGGTTCCCCCTGAGCCTCCTTTTCTCCAGGCTGAGCCCCTTTCCCAGCTCCCTCAGTGTTCCTGGTGCCCCAGACCCTTCCCCAGCTCTGTTCCCTTCCCTGGACAATCTCCAGCCCCTCAGTGTCCTTCTTGTCCTGAGGGGCCCAGAGCTGTCCCCAGGGCTGGAGTTGCCTCAGCAGTGCCAGCACAGAGGGACAATCTGTTGGGTCCTGCTGGTCCTGCTGTGGCTGGTACAAGCCAGGATGCCCTTGGAGATGTCCTTGGCCACGTGGGCACACGCTGGCTGTAACTTGTCCTCAGAGCACCCAGAGAGGGCTTGGGAAGCTGGAGCTGTGCCCCTCACATGTGGAGGGGGAGGTGGGGTGGGTCCTGCTCAATGCCTCCATGAACCATCTTCATTCCCATCAAAGTCTGCCCCAAAGTGGTTCAAGGGCACTCTGCCAAGTCAAGGGGTGAGGAGGGAACAAAGCTGGACTTGTGGTGGACTCCTTGGTCTTTTGGACACTCTCCTGCTGCCCCCAAGGCCAAGCATCTCCGACAGGGAATGTCCTGGTTTGCTCCAAAGATAAAGTCCCCACGTGGAACCAGGAGCGAGCCCAAGCAGGACTGGAGCTTTCAGGGCTGTGCTCACCCTGCCAAGGCCCTCGAGGGAGCAGGAAGGAGTTAGGTGCATACATGGACACACCTGGCTTCTTCCCAGCTCTCAGAAGAGATACAGCCAAGCCCTGCTTCTCCTCCAGTCCTTGTGCTCTCTCCCTTTTACCTGTCCCCTCCCTCCACCCTGTGCACAGAGCACTGCTGCCACTTCTGTTTTACTGTCCCCAGAGACACCAATTCTGCAGCCAGAGACGCTAATTAAATTGTGCAAAAATCCAATAAAAATGCTTTATGAGAGTGTCTGTCATTGGCAAAGGTTTAGGGAAGAAAATTAGGCTCTTCCCAAAGCAACACACAAAAAAAGTCCATCCTCCCTCATTAAACCCTCGATGTATTTCACTGTAAATGGTTGCTGGGTGCAGCAAATTGCAACTGGTCCAGTGGGGGCAGTTTCCCAGTGCAGAGCTGGTGGGAAGGGCTGGGGATGTTTTTTGGTGAGTGTTGAGGTGTTTTCTTCTGTCCCTGCTCTGAATGACAACTCGGGCTCAGGCACAGGCTGGGCTGGACAAACCAGACCCATTTATAGATTTTCTCATTCCCCAGCCAGCGCCAGAGAGGATCAGTAATGCAACCAATTAAGAGGATTAAAAGCCATATTTTTTATTTATTTTTTGATGACAGGAGCCCTGCCAGGTCCTGTGGCTGTGATCAAGGTCCCCATGCTGTCCTTGTCCCAGACAGCTCAGGGATTGATTCATACAGGGGATTATTGTCCTGCACATTCCTCCAGCTCTCAGTGATGCTCAGCAAGAGGCCAAGGTCTCCTGTAGGTCTTCCCAACCCCAGGAATGCTGTGTTCTACCTCATTTCCTATCCTTTGTGCCCCAGAGGATGCACAGTTATCCACACAGAGGGGAAGAGTGTCTGTGCTGCCTCCCTGGACCCGGGCATTTGCTGGAAATGCTGGGAAATGGAATGGGCTGGCTTGGGAGGGGATGGCTGGGCCACTCTCAGAAGACTTAAAAAACCCCAAATACCGCAAGGCTTATGATGTAAACACTCCAAGCAGGCTAAATACTGTGTAATTTCTCTTGATTATGCAAATAGCAGAGAGAAGAAGCTGGCAGGGAGCACATTTCCCACCCAGAGCAGGGACCCGTCGGCAGCCAAAAGCACCAAGCCAGACCCCCGAGGTGGAGGGCTCTGCTCCTGTTTTGCTGCTCGTGCTGATGGAATGACATCTCCAGAGGGGAAATGTCCCAGAAAGAGCCAAGGCTTCCCATGGCTGCTGTCAATTCAACAGATGGAAGCCAAAAGAAGGGGGTCCAGCCCTGGGGCTCTCTGGTCACCTCATCCCAGCAGAAGGTGGGATTGTGAATGCAGGGAGAGGGGGACACTCCATGGATCCTCACTTCACCTCACAGGGGTTTCAGCTCGCTTCCTGCAGGAATTGGGATGCGGGGTGACCCCTCCGAATCCCCTGGGAATAGCTGCTGAAATCAAGCTGCCTGCTGAAGCCCTTTTGTTCTGCGAGGCTCCTGCTAGGAGAGGCTCTGCTTTTATTTCAAAGACTCAGCAATTTGGATCAGTTTAACCTTTTCAGGGTTTCCTGAGCACAATAGCACAGATGAGCTTTAAAGCCTCTTCAAGAGCACAGGTTGGAGCCGGAGACTTGGGGGGAGGGAGAAGAAGCCACGTCAAGCCGAGGAGCCGATAGTGTCAGTGCCAGACGTGATTTGCCTGCCAACCCCCCCAAAGCCCCCGCCGAGGCACACAGGGATGGGTTTGCTGCGAGAATCAGGGCGGTGCTGCTGCGTGTCCTTGTCCTGAGCAGAGCCTGCTCCAGGGGATGCAGAATTCCACCCAAAGCCCATCCCACCCACGGCACGTGGAGATGGGAGATGGGAGAGCAGGCCACAGCACGTCAGTGTTGGACAGAAACGTCCAGCAAGGCTGTGGGGAGGGGAACAGCACAAGGCCAGCCCCCATCAGCCCATCCACTGCCGTGTCCCGCTATCCCGACCACATCCCCATATCCCCTCTTACAGACCCAACTCCCAGCTTCACCCCAAAGCATCTCCGGGGATCCAGAGTGCATCCGAGCCCCCTGGGTGGAACGCGGGGCTGGGAATACCCTGGAGAGCGAGGCGAGGGGATGGCTCGGCGGAGCAGGGCAGCGCTCCTTTGATGTTGGAACAACAAAGGTGGGTGCGGGAGGGAAAGGTAATGGGGATGCTGGGAACAGCGGGATGCATTTCAAACGGAACAGCCAGAGCTTTGAAGATCAATTCCTCCCAAGGAAACAAACTGCTCTTCCCCAGCTCCTCCAAAGCCCCCATCCTGCTCTCCCAATCCCGAAGTTTCTGGAGCTGGCCGCTGTTATAAAGACAAATTTTTGGGAAGATGCTGGTGCCGGGCTGGATGCGGCTCCCTGGGGCTGCTCCTGCTGCCCGCTGAGCAAAGGTGGGAGGGAGGGCAGGGAATACCCCCGGGTCACATCCCCCTCCCGGCCCCAAGGTGAAGGGGAAAGCCGCTCAAAGCAATTATTTACAGAGCAGCTGATGAATGTGCTCCCAAGGTGGATGCAATCAGGATTGCTCGCAGAGGGAGGGAAGGGGACTGGAGCTGGGGTGGGAGAAAGGAGGAGACCCCCAGCACCCCAAGGACACGCAGCCACTGCCGTGGGGAGAGCTCAGCTCTCGCAGCAGGATTATCCCATTTCCAGGATTCCCATCATCGGGAAAAACGCAGCTTTTGTGTTTGTGTGTTTTTTAACCAAAGCTCCAATTCTGCTTTCTCAGGACTCCTGGAGCCAGGGCTTAGGAACAAGCAGGGAATGCTCTCATTAGTTAAACCTTTGTTAACACTCACTCACATCACCTCGTTTAGATTCACATCAACGCAATTGGCTTTTTTGGAACAGTTCCTTGAAAAGGAGAAAAAAAAATAAACAACCTTTTTTTGTGTCAATGTTTTCTAAGCAAAATATTTTGAGCTTTCTGCTTTGGTTTATTTGCTTTGTGTGAGCTTTTAAATCAGACATAATTAACACAAAAAACAGCGAGATCTTGTAGTTGTCAGGAAACGCTTCAGTTTTCCCTTTTCATCTGCTGAACATTGACACGTGAAAATAATCTGCCCCTCCCTCCACTGCTTGGTTTCTTTTAAAAACCACCAGCAAGATTCAAATAGGCCCTGGGAGCTGCCCAGGGAGTTCCCCTTGCCCAGGTGTCCCCATCCTGCACCCACACCTTGGTGGGGACGTGGCCAGGTTTACACTCCCCCAATTGCATTATGTTTGAGTGGTTTATGATTTGGATTTTCATGCAGAGCAGCCTGTCCCAGCTCCTCATAACAAAGACAATTATGCTAAGTTTATTGGATTTGCATTCAGGGCTGATTTGTCAGAATTGTATATTGGTTCTGGGAGATGGAAGGGGAGGAAGAGAGGGGGCATTTGCTTTTCATGAGGACAGGAAAAAAAAAGCCCAGTATAAAATTAATTTCTCTGTTTCACAGCCAGTGCACAGATTCCTTCCTTCCTTCCTTCCTTCCTTCCTTCCTTCCTTCCTTCCTTCCTTCCTTCCTTCCTTCCT